ATACAAATGATTGTCATTGTTTTTGAACACTTCACAGAACATACAATCATTTCTATGATCAGTAATGAAGGAAACTGTCTCAGATACTACAATCCAAAAATTCTTAAACTATGCTTCTGGTATAAATGGATATAAAAATGTGTCAAAGTAAACACAGCCAAGCAAACGCACAGGTAATCAGCCTACATAGTTAAATCATTGGTTTACTACCAGTAACTAAGCAGTGTTTGCCGAATTATATCAGTAATTCACAAAATACAAAATTACAGTCACTCTGATCAGAGAATGAGAGAAAACAAACGTTTTAATAAGGCCAATAATTATTTGTAACAATTCCAATAACGTACTGATAATAACTCATTTTTATCAGTACAGCTTTATCAGAACAGAATTCTACTTGTATCAATAATCTTAAGTGTACAAAGACAAAAAACAATGGATGAGTGAAGGAACTGATGTTAAAAATAGTTCATTTAAAATATGATTCCCATCATGAAATGTCTGTCTACTGTGGCTAAGCTGTAGTGTCAGCATTACTACTCAAAAGTGTATTCATAAAAATGAAAGACTTCTAAATCCCTCCTGTGGCCATTTTGGGTGAAAATGAAATCAACCACCTTTAGGCCTTAACCCGACATGTTGTTCATCACGATCTAGGGACACAGCTTACCTGACGCTGGCATGTTGGGAAGAGTGAATTTGCAAATAAACTCTGTTGCCCGTCAAATGAACCGAAGTCCATTGAACCTGATCTGATTCCTTGCTCCATTTCGGACCTGACACAACGAGAGAAGACCCTCTGAGTTATAATAAATTATAACATATGTATATAATCTCGTGATTAGCAACCATGAGAGCTCAGGGGTCGCGCAGAGGTTCTTAGCAGATCATTTTTCAGAGGCAAATCAGTAAGTTAGCCGTTGGTGGGTTAAGCTAGCAGTGTCCCACCACTTTGGGGAAACAACTGGGTAACAATGGAACAATGGAGCCGTCGTTGCCGGTTGAATTTGTCAAACGTCACCTGAACGTACCGAGTTACCGGAGGAAGATTCACCGGAGACACAGGATCACCGCAGGTCCAGAAACTAACGGAAACATCACGAGCTCACAACTTCTCTGGCCTTATCCCCACCCGCATACGTCACCCGCGATCTGAGCGCTCATTGGCTCAGTCCGACAGGATTCTGGATCTGGGACCAATTAACGTCAAGCAGAAAAGTTGGAGCGCATAGCAACTTGATAGTGACCACCTGGATGATGCGTCACACCCTCCGCCATTAAAAGCTAAAAAACCAAACTCTCAGGGCTCTGATCAGTTTTAGTATAGGTAACATGGACGTATGTAGATATCATCATCATCATCATCATCTTTAATCATCATCATTATCATCATCATCATCATCTTCAATTATCATCATTATCAATCATCATCATCATCAGCATCGTCATCATCAACAACATCACTATCATCATCATCTTCACCATCATCATCATCATAATCAACATCATCATTATCATCATCAACATCACCACCTTCGTCATCTTCACCATCCTCATCATTAACATCATCATTATCATCATCATCATCATCACCATCATCTTCTTCACAATCATCACCATCATCAT